GAAATAAACATATTTGTACCTTAACTAATAAAGAATTCATATGAAGTATTTCACTTTCATACCCCTCCCCAACACACACAAACAACTACCACTTAACAACAGGTGGCTAAGGCTACATTTAGTAGTAAGGCAGAGCCCAATACTGCCACATAAAATACACCACTCAGACCAGAAGACAAGGTCCACATTAGCAAGCATAGTAACCACGCTGGTTTACAAGCTTAATATTAAATACTCCTCAAAAGCCAGTACCTCTTATAACAATTCCATGAGTATACTTTCAGTGTCCCTCAAGGGGTATGCCCAGTTTTAAGAGTCTCCATCAATTATCTGTAGTACAAGTTCCTCCAGTACAGATGCAATTGGCTAATCAAGAATTATATTTACCATAAATAATGTTGCCTAGTAACAAAAGTTGAAATGTTTTATCAGATTATCAGGGGAATAAAGAGAGGGAGTTAGCCAAAGGTCAAATTCACATGTGAAAGGTGAAAAGACTTTGTTAACTCTCTACCCACAATCATCAATTGTCTATCACATCTTTCTTATAAAGCAATAAAGGAATCCAATTATTAATACGAAGATACTGTAAAAGTTAAAGATTTTATGCAAATAAAGTATCATTATATCTGCAGTTCCTCTGCTTTCTCCAAAGATAATATTTCCTTATGTTCAACAGATAAAAACCATAATAGAGAAAAATTCTCAACTCACCACATTTTGACAAGTTTGAATCTTCTCCTGAGCCTGATTGTATTGTGCCCAAATTATCTCTAATTCATTCAAAGAAGGTGGGGTAGTAAAGCACCCTTCATCCAACACTTGTATAGCATCCGAAAGGTCATTTCCAAAACGAACATTGATGCTCGCACGCCTATTTTAAAAAACCGAAAAAAGGAAAAGGTCAATAAATTAGAAAGCTGGTGTGAGAAAAAGTTATACTTAAATAGTAATGATCTAAAAGTTACTACGTACAGTAGTGGCTATGAAGACATACTTTTAAAACTTTATATAAAATCATTAATTAAAAAACATGTTGTGGATAGGCTTCTAACTTTATGACAAAAAGTATTTGGGGAGGAGGAAAATATTTGTGGAAAAAAATTTTTTTAAGTCTATAAAAAGACAACTTCAAAAGTCTGAAAAATTTAAAATGACATCAAATGGACCTTCAATTTTTGGTCTATAATTAGATTTGTAAATATGTCTTTAAATGAAAGACTCATAATAAAACCAATTTTACCATCAGCTAATTGATATAAACAAGAGTTAAGTTCCTATGGCATATTTCTGGTCACAAAAACATCACTGACTTCTAAATAAAGACCCAAAACACTTTCAACATTAAACACTGAAATAAATGTGTGTGTGTGCTATACACGCATTTAAAAAAGATTAATAAAAACAAGATAATTATTTACCCAAATTTTGGTGAATCAGTGAGTGACAACAGTCATAGTGGTGGTGAATTAAATCAGGGAATAAATGTGATAGAAGCAAAAATTTTAAGCATCTCCTACCACTGCACAGTTCAAAAACAGTAACAAATATGGTGGGCTTGCTGACTGCTTTCATTCTGCATTGTTTATTGTGCATTTGTATGATTACTGCATACTTTATAAATTTTTATAATAATTTGTACTCATTCATTCATTCATTAATTTTCCAACCCAATTATTCTAGTTCAGCGTTGCAGGTGGCCAAAGCCTACCTTGGCAGCTCAGGGCACAAAGACATCCCACCCTGGACAACATACCATTCTACCACTCACAACTGTGAGGGCTCACTCACAACTTACCCACACTCACTCATACTGGGACAATTTAAACACACCAAATTCACCTAACATGCACATCTTTGGGACATGGAAGGAAATTGCAGTACTCCAAGACAACCCATACAGATATGGACAAAACATGCTAACTCCACAAATAGTGACCCCAACCAGGAATTGATTTTTATTGATTTATTAATTGATTTTTATATGAAATGACATTGAATGAAACCGTATTACTCAAGGACCTGCTGTACTCCTGAAAATAACCCCAAGTTGGACATGGTAGTTTCCCACCAAACTACCACTTAAAAGTTGTGTTGGTTTTTTAATTTCACTATCAGAGATGACCATAGGACGCTATAGCTCCAAGTAGTGACAAGAGAAAACTGATAAAAACACTATAAAATTCATCTTAGAAATAACTGTCTTTAGTTTCTCCCTTTAAAGTCATAAAAATACAAAGATTAAAGTTCAAAGCAAAAATGGTGGGCATACAATATTTAAAAAGCACCAATTAGCAATTATTTTAAAATGCCCTTCTCAAAAATGTACCTTTCCCTACCTGATTTCTTTCAATAATTCCACCTTAGCTGCCAGATTTTTCATTCTTGTACCTACACGAGTCTTCAGAGTGCTTTCTAAATGTTTGGTCAAATCCACAGCAGCTGCTTTCTCTTGCTGAAACAAACACATCCTAGTGAGACTCAAATAGGTAACTGTACTTCTGTTATAATTTTAATGATTTTTAGGTATAATTTTAAAAATGTTTTAAAGTTAAAAAATGTTAGGCCATAGGATAACAAACACTGATTTTCTACTAGGTGGGATCTGAAAAAAATAATCTGTTCCAGTTCTCTGCCTTCATACAGATTAGAGACTGTTATATTAAAAGATCAAACAGAAAGAAAATTTTACATTTTGTACCTCTTAAAACTCAAATTTTTAAAAAAAGAAAAAATATCCATAAAAACCAAAGACTCCGGCCGGGCGTGGTGGCTCACGCCTGTAGTCCTAGCACTCTGGGAGGCCGAGGCGGGCGGATTGTTTGAGCTCAGGAATTCCAAACGAGCCTGAGCAAGAGCAAGACCCTGTCTCTACTAAAAAAAGAAAAATTATCCAGATGTGGGCATTGTGTCCAGAGCCTGTAGTCTCTGCTACTTGGGAGGCTGAGACAGAAGGATTGCTTGAGCCCAGGAGTTTGAGGTTGCTGTGAGCTAGGACGCCACGGCACTCTAGCCTGGGCAAAGGAGTGAGACTCTGTCTCAAAAAAAAAAAAAAAAAAAAAAAAACCAAAGACTCCAAATGATTATCAATGACAATTTCTTTTCTGATGAAGTCTTATGTCATTCTGCATTATAAAGGAGTCAAAAAAAATTTCCTTAGGAAAGGTAGATTAAACTCTCTAAGTAGTATATCAAATATATGTCTACATGATTATCCAAAATAACATATGGATCAGTAACACAGATAAAGACCTGGAAATTTTATTTTAATTATACTACACCCAATTATTACATAGTTAAACACAGAACTTTTACTTAGTATTTAAACAACACACTCTCCAATCCTCACATTCTCTCCAATGCAAATAAAATGAGAGGACCAGGGTATACTGAATGCCGATTAATAGTAAGCTACGCTCAGGTATGCTCATTGCCTTCTGCTCCCATTTGCTGAGTATAATGATCATGAAGAATCGGTTATATTTCTTCCTAAAACTGTTATATCCACTGTACTTGTAACAAATGCTCAAAAAATACGTAAATCTATGAAATAGAAATAGAAAACAAGAAATTTTTGAATCTTTGAAAATTGTGTTTAATACTTTGCTAAGACTCCGTAAAAGCAAATTTTAACAGAAATTTCTAATGTGAATGAGAACTATAACATATTGAAGAAAATAATCATTGAAATCTAAAAGAAGTATTAACTCAAACTGTTTCTCAAATGTCTTGAGTTTATTAATCCACTTCTATAAAAAACTAGGAATCAGACGATAAATAATGAGTATTATGTTTAAAACAACAAATAAAAAAATAGAAAAGATGATAGACTTAAACACAACCACATCAATAATTACATTAAATGAAAATGAGCTAAAAATTCCAATGACAAGAAGTGAGATTATCAATCTGGATGAAACAGTCTAGACTCTATGCTGCTTATAAGAAATACTTACTACACATAAAGAGAAAGATAAAAGTTAAAGAATAAAAAGATATACCATGCAAATATGGCCATATTAATGTTTAGGAAACATGAACTTCAGGAGTATTACAAGCAATAAAGAGGGACACTTCATAAAGGTAAATGGATCAATTCATCAAGATGATACAATTCTAAATGTGTATATCAATAATAACAGAGCCTTAAAAAAAATGAGGCAAACTGTGACAAAACAAAAGGAAAAAAATAGACAAAACCACAGAAATATTTGGATTTGGATTTCAACACTTCTCTCTCAGTAACTAATGGAGTAAGTAGAGAGAGAATCTGTCAGGATCTAAAAGACTTGCACAGCACTATCAACCAATTCAACCTAATTGACATTTATAAAACACTCCACCCAACAATTGTAGAGTACACATAATTTTTAAGAATGCATGAAGCATTTCCAAAGATAGACCACATGCCGGGCAGTAAAAATCCAATACATTTAAAAGGTCTGAAACCATATAGAGTATGACCTCTGATATCAAGAAAATTAAATTAGAAATCAGTAACAAAAATATACTGGGGCAACTACTATTTATCCAAAGAAAAGAAAATTAGTGTATCAAAGGGATAACTCCACCCCCACGTTTATTGCAGCACTATTCACAACAGCACATATATGGAATCAACCTAAGTATCCAACAATGGATAAACACATAAAGAA